TTACAGATTCACCCCCCCTCCCCCTTTTTTTTTTCTAGACATCAGGGCAAAGGGATTTCTGTGGACTTGACATCTGGGCCCAGACTGGGACCAGCGTGAGCCTGGAATATTCTTTCAGATTCCCTCCTCCTCACCCACCCTTTCCAAACAGCCTGAGCCTCGAAGACGCTGGTGACTTTAAATGTCTTCCTGGGTCTGTAATGAAGATGCTTATAAATATTACAAGAGATTTATCACTTCGGTGTGAAATCCTCTGATACCAACCGGGAGTTTTTAAACACCACGGGTAACAAGAAGCATATGGTTAGAGATTCAAGTTACTGGTTTCTTTCTTTTTTTTTTTTTAATTGTTGTCTGCCAAGGACAATATATTTTTTTTCCCCTTTCTTCAAAATAAACATTGTGCAGGAATGTGCCTCAGCAAATGGCTGGGGTTCTATTATATTTCATGCAGCTTTCTAAACAATTTCCAACCCCGGGCCTGGCCGAGTGTCAAACAGAAGGCAACCAACAATAGCAAAATCCCATTAAAGCCGGGAAGGTTCCTTCCTGAGGTGAGCCCGGCCAGAAATAGTCACCTTGGCTCATTCTCCCGTTTGGCACCAGGGACTAATAATGCGCGGTCTCTTAATGGAAATTATCTAATTTCATCCAAGAGTTCCTCCAGAGGGAGCCGGGCTGACGCACTCACAGTCAATATAACAACATTCTTCTTGAAGTGCCGGACAATGGGCCTTTGGAGGGACTGATAACCACGTCAGCCGCTGGACAAACACCCGAGTAAAAATAGGCATCGAGGCAACTGACACGGCCACCTAATTTCTCAGGAGGGAGGCCCCAGAGGAGGCACATTCAGAGGGCTTGTGGGGAATAACTTCATCAGACCTGCTGGGAGAAGGATGGTGGAGAAAATCAGAAGGGGGCGGGGGGCGGTGGGAGAGAGAGAAAGACAAGACACAGAGATGGAGAATGGCGGAAACATGAAGAATGTGGTACATGAAAGAGAGGAGAGTTCCTTCTCCATCCAGGGAACAAATAAGTATGCAGCGTCGGTACGAGGCCGCTTGATAGGAAGCCTGCTTTGGGTGTAATTCCCATGAACATCCCAGGGCCGTAGTCCAAGTGCTCTTGGCAAGGAAAGGCCTGCGGGAAAGAAGGCTCCTTGTAAAGATCGAAAGGCCCCGTTGGAAAAATAGTCATTCTACTTGAAATATAAAGTGCTGATTCTATTACCTAAAGGTTCTTCATTAAAATAACTTCATGTTTCTCAGGTATTAATACATATTGAAATATAATCCAGGAAAAAAGGAAGTATGGATATTATAGAAGATTGGAGTTCTGTGAAATTTATACACACACACACACACACATACACCTGTGAGTTCTGTGACACTATAATGTATAGAATATATATAAATATATAACTATATTTCTATCTCTCTATATATACATCTATCTGACCTGTAAACTATCCCAATAGCACTTTCCTAAGACTAACAAGATCACCCTGAGGTATATACCTAAAAGGAAAAGGAGACAGATTCATATTGATTCAAAGTATAGTTCATGAGAAAGTTGTTAACCTCCACATCTAACAACAGCTTCAAAATATACAAAATAAAACCAGTAGAAATATAAGGAGAAACTGGTAAAG